GGGGGGGGGGGGGGAGTGATTGTGGTGCGTGAATTTTTATTGGAGTATTTCTGCGACTAGACATCGCCGGCGGCGAATATGTGTCAAGCACGCTGCAGTCTCCTTGTTTAAACTCTTGTCATACAGTTGTAGGTGCTCCAAAGTGTTGCTGGGTTGGTGCACTTCGTGTTGTCTTTGGTTGTTTGACTGTGGGGGGTTGCTTCGGTTTTGTGCCGAGCCTTCTGTTGTTCCAATGGTTGTGTCTTTTTTCGAAGGAGGAACGACTCTCCATCTCGACAGTGTAGGTTGGGGGTTTACGCGGTTGTAATACTCAATGACCAAGGCAACGAACAATGTGAATGGCATCCCATATCCCTCTGCTAATCGTCGGTTGTCTCGCTGCGCTTGGGGAAACGCAACGACTAGGTGGAGGCGACACAGATCATGCGCATCCGCGACAACATCGTCCGGATGTATGCTATGATGACGGGGCAGACCCAGGAGCAGATCACCATTGTGAGCAAAACAGTTTTGCGACAAACGCACCAGAAACACACAGGAAACAATAGTCGCCACTTACTGAGACTATTGATTCGTTTCAAGCTCTTCGTGGGGGAAATGGGCTTTTCTTTTTGTGGCACGTGCATGGCTTGATTGATTCCTCCCCTTTCGAGATTAGCCCCTGCCAAGGCTGAGTTTTTGTTCGCATTTGCATTTCTTGTGTCAAGCGCTCATATTTTCGGGATCTGTGAAGACATCAATCGCTCTATCTGTGGTTACGGGGACCACGTTGCCCTAAAATGAGTTTAACACAACATTGAAGTTTTCAGGGGACGTGTTCTAGATGGGTTGAGGCCGGGGCTTAAGTAACCGTTGCCCGTTCAGGCCGTGTAGCACGCCGTCACTTTTGGCAGCAGAGAACGTGGATACACAAACTACCATCTCAAGGTATAGGCTGACACCAAAGCGCTGTCCTCCGTAGTGTACTTGTACTGACACGTTGTCACTTTCCTGCGGAGAACGTGCGACGGTAGTCTTCGACTATTCTGTTTTACCTGGCAGGATTTTGAGGCCGCGGAATAGAGGACAGGGGCTCCACCTTCAAACCTGTTCAAGCGTGTGCGTATGACTGTTCGTGGAAAAATCTTTCACCGTTGCCATGACCGCGGGTCATGCTGCGAAATGTTGTTCGCCACTACGTTGTGACTGTTGTTGTGGTCACCCACCTCAAGCACCGATTGACAACCGCCCCCCGCCCCCCGGCACGTTCTCTCTCCCACTCGTGCCAATGTGTCTCTGATCTCTTCGCCGCTGGCCGGCCGGCCTTCTACCGCTTCGCCTCCTGAATCAAAATCTTTTTAGGACCTGGACCGCGATAACTTCATGTCGGCACAAGCGGCCGCCGACTACGGCCTCGTGGACACCGTAATAAAGCTTTCTAAGAAATAGAGAACAAGGGGGGCATGCTAAGAATCTGTATTTTGCCCCGTGTAGGTGTAGACAGCAGTAATGGGTGGTGTTTGGTCCGTCCGTCCACACGTGTGTCACTTGTCGCGCGTGCACGCTCACACGCCGTAGGGTCGATCGGGCGACAGGCGAGACCACGGGGTCAAATAAGTTGTTCTCGAGGAAGAGGTTCGATTCTGAGTTGTTTGTTTTGGCAACGACGGTGAGGGTGAGGATCCTTGGGACGTGGCATGTGGCTCGACGACGGCGCGGACCTTGGTTCTTCTAGGTTTATTTTCACTCAATCCCAGGCGACTTTGTAGCAGGCCCACGTACCTGTGGGTATTGTGCACCGCCGGGTAGAAGGCCTCTGCTGAACCCGAACAAGAAAGAGGCGGTAAATTGTGTGCAAGATTGCTGATGGGTGTCTGACTTGTTCATGCTGAAGTGGTGCAAGTGCGGGTGGAACGTTTGCTGCGGCTGCTAGATGCTGCGTCTCGGAGGCTTGCTCGGAGTTTGGCGCAGGCGTTGCTTCTTTTGATTCGGAGGTGTCGCGGAAACGCCTTTCTTTGTAACCCTCGGCCAGAGGACCCTTCCGCACAGCTTGGGTGGCGTCGTCACCGTAGTTGTCTTGCGGTCGGGACGTCAGCGGCGGGACCCACAAGAGGTATGGCGTAACTGCGTGTCGAGGTCAAAACCTTCCGACTGCTTGTTGCGATTCCATCTCCTCTTGTGCCCCAAGTGCACCAGCGTTTTTCCTCTCCACCCCGAAAGCGCTACCCCTACTGCAATTTCAGCAGCTTTCTACGGAAGTTTGGTATTTTGCCCTAGTCAAGTGGGGTTGAGTGGCGAAGGTGCCGCGCGGCACAATCAACTCCACTGCCCTATCAGCAGCACAATCCGTTCGAAAGCTCTTCTTGCGTGATATCCGGCAAAGCTACCACGGGAATTTTGTAGATTCGGGTTTTCCCTTGCAGAAAGAGGTAGAACTCTACGGGTTGTTAGGCGAAGCGATATGGACAGCCAACACCCTTTGTCGTGCTCACCCTCATTCATAATCCGACGTCTCGAGAAACAATGTTGATACAGTTTCACCGATGAAAACAATACGATGGTGTCAGTCGAAAACCAACAAAATACAGGCGAACCTCGCACACACGTGATTTTTCGCTAAAAAAAGGGTCCTTAGGCCGGGGAGGTGTCCTTAGAATTCAGAGTACCACAACTCACCATCCCCGGAGCCAACAGCGGCGATTTATTCGCCAACAGACGCGCATTGGGCTCCAGTATTCGTTGCACGAAAGAGGAGGCCAAAAAAGTCGAGGAGAGATTTGTTTTTTTTGTCACTTTCTTTACTGAACACTAGACTACAAACAGGATGTCATTTGAACGCCTGAACCTTCGCGCTCAATTTGCAGCTCTCTGGTCAACCGCACACTGCAACCACTCCTGTTGCTAATCTCATGTGTTGCCACGCGTTCAAGGCATGCATAGACCACCCACAACACGGTGTTGGTTCAAAAACTCCACACACCACGACCTCTAGTCTAGTCTATACATGTCGCGCAGGCCTGCAGCTCCTCCCCATCCTTAGCTCGCCACTTGACTTGAGTTTTGTGAGTGAACGAATGCACTTTCGAAACTCGGTACTGGGTTTCGCGGTACTCCCCACCCTTTCCGTTCGCGTACAAGCAGGAGCGAACCTTCTCTAGGCTACTGCGAACTTCGGCCTCTGTCATCGAAGATGTGATGCACGACTCGGCCTGCCCCCATCATCTTCATCGTCAGAGGAACCATCATCAACCTCTAAGTTTGCGAGATTCTTCTCCACAATCTCCGGTTCCACATCTACCTCCTCTTCCAACACGCTACGGTCATCCTCTGCGGAGAGCCACATACAACAAGCAGCAGACCTGTCTGCGGCAGGTCTGCGGTCTCTACAGCAAGGGCCTGCGAACTCGAGGGGGTTCCGCGGACTGTATTAGACACACCCCGTAATAATCTATTCTGCGGGGCACCATGTTTCGAAGAAGAAAAGTGTCCTTATCCGGTGCGAGGTTCGACTACAGTCTGTACTGCCACTTTGTGTTCCGCCTGATACTTGTGCACAAAAATCCTAGCATGGTTCGAACCGGACGATGCACAGCCGGCGGCATCTCTCTTACGCCTGCTCATGCAGTTCGTCACCTCCCACGAGCGTCCGTGTTGCCGCACTCCTCGTGATTTGTTTATTTTTTTTTGTCTTCACTTCAAATCAGTGCTCACAGCATTTATGTGCCGTTTACTCCAACCCTTTATAAGGTAAATGGCGTCCCTTCATCTCATGCATACGGCGAACGACATGGTGTCAGTGTGTTGGAGAGCAACTGGGCGAAAACATCTTGCCGGGCGGGTGGGTGGTGTCTCAACAGAGCAGCTCTCTTATCTCTGTTTTCCTGTAGAAACAGGGTTGGAATCGAAGACTGAGACCGCGCATCTGACTGTCTCGAAAATTGCCTCTATATTGTGTGACAGCGCTGGGAATTATTTCATCTTTTACCATGTCCGTTCCTCAAAATACTTAAAAGTGTTTTTACGTCAGTTCTTCTCCTCAGATAAGTATGGGATCGAACAGTGGCATCACCTCCAACGGGCCGGTGTATTCACTTCCTCTCGCACTTCCAAGTTCTGCGCTTGGTACAATCTTCGTAGCGCTTGAACAATCCCATACAGTGGCGGCTACAGAGACTATTTAAGAGCAAGGGCCGATTTAAGGGAGTCAAACTGCCTTGTCACGACCATGAGAAAAACATACATTTCTCAGCACGCTTCAAGAGAAAACCGGATTCAAAGAATGAAATACTGGCTTGTTCCAAACCTCTCTCAAATAGTAGCCGCCACTGAAAAAAAAAAAAGTTTGAGCAATTTCATATGTTCATGTCTCCACCAGCTGTTACAACAACCGTCGACTGCTAAACGCTGTCAGCGACCGGGTCTTCTCGCTCAAGGCAAATCCGTTCAGCTCCCGGTATTGCTCCTCCGTCACTCGCCGGACCATACCCGACCCTTCTGGACCTGGGGCCACCACCTCCTTCAACCTCATGTATCGCCAGGCCGTCTTTGGGTTCCTCCAATACGCCTTTTGCATACTAGCCGACAAGGAGTTTCCCTGAAGAGCCCGTGTGACAGCTCCCCCCGACCGAAAACATGCCCTCGATCTCTTGCCAAAAGTCAAGCAACACTTTGCTTGGGCAGCAGCGAGTGCCGCCAATGGGACCGGCACGGCCGCAAGTGTCCCTCAGCTCAATAGAGCGAAGTCTAAAGCGTGAAAACGCAAGCCCGGAATTCCAGGGCCACATCACGAAGCCTTGACTTTTCCGCCCCCGTGCAGCTGCTTCTTGCGCTGGCGGAGCATGTGCATGTACAACTTGGGCGCGCCTATTGCGAACGCGAAAACGATGTAGGCGTAGAGGACGTAGATGCTTAACCCCTCCGGGAGCCCCGGCACACCCGGCAGACCCACCGCCTGTTGAAGCCGTCGCACGGCGCGAGCGTGTGCGAAGGTTAAAACATTCGGCACCTAACCGCGACATGTCCGTCGAAACAAACCGCGGGCCAAGGGCGGAGAGATGCGCAGAATCAATCGTGCGACCAGTCAACCCGGAGCCCGGGGTCCCACACGCGTGTCCTCGGTCGCGACGACGAAAACGAACGAAAAGCGAGGAAAGCCGACACACCCCAAGAGAATCTTCTCACACGATAGATTGTGAACAGGAAGCACACGCCTCGACCCAAATGACAGTTAAACGAAAGCTTGCGCTGCAGCTAAGTACACGATGGCCGGGACAAGCCCCCAACAGGATGGAAGCACACTCGCCCGGCGGATCGGGTCCGACGCCACTAACCTTGATGTGCGGCAGGCCAACGATCCACGTCCCCAGCTCGCCGGCGAAGCCCAAGGGGTAGAGGAGGACGAAAGCCGAGTACCGGAGCCATTGCAACACCGGGGGGCACATGCCCGCGATGTTCAAGGCGTAGAACGGATATCTAGATTGGGCAGGGAGGAGGGCGTGCGTGTAACGGAAGCGATACAGCAGCAGGTGATTTAGTAAAAGCTGGAGCGAGAGGGTCAGCGGTCATGCTCGCGATCCAACAACGAGGGTGCACTTGCAAAAAGGCAGCGACTCGTACCATGCAGAGAGCGACGCTTCTCTCTCCCCGTAAAAAAAGGCGGCGGTGGTTTCCTGCAGAAAGCAGCACTCCTCGCCAGCGTCGAAACATGACACGCGCGGCCATTGGCCGCCGCGTTGTTTAAGATCATTGCTTCCTCGGCGCGACTGTATTTTCTGTATGCATACCTGATGACCTCGGACGTTGCCCAGGCTGTGAACATGAGGAGCACCCACGGGCTGTCTCGTACCGGCGGGAAGGCCGTCACCACCGAGAACAGCGCTAGATCTCTTCCAAACACCTTTCCTTGCGTAGAGCAGAGCACCCGTGTGTGTCGACAAAGCACCAAGAAGGGGCGCGCGAATGCTTGTAAGCTGTCGAAGCAAGCCGTGGAAACAACCACAAAGGGGGAAATCGGCGAGCTCTACTATCACACTCGCATCGGTACCCCTTGTCACACACACGGGACAGGTGTGTGAAGAGGGGAAAAAAAAATCGTGCATACGACGATACGGCGGTGCCCATTGTACAGAAGCAGAGAAAAACGATGCCATTCATGAGCATTACACGGGTATGTCGCCACAAACGCTCGCTTCACTTCGGCACTCGGCTCCTGGCGGAAAATCCAGACGGCTAGGTAGCCGGCAATAGTCACGAAGGCGTGGCTCACCTGCATGAACACGTTCATCGGGTTGCTCTTGACCTGTGCACCGCCGTCCATGTTGTGAGGCGTTTCCCGCGGCGACAGGCAAGGGCGGGCGACGAGATAGGTATGCTCAGGTATGCTCAGTTGGGCCCCTCGACGTCGAGCTATCACGGCACGGCGGCAAGACAGAGGTTGAAAACGGGAATTTCTCCCGTCCACTTTCACACGCCAGCAGCTCGCCTGACACGTGTCACGGAGTATATTGACCATTTGTTTTGTCTTTTGGGCGGATAATTCTGATCTCGGAGGGCACACCATATCGCACCACGCCAGGTACTCGAAGTGCGTGAAGAACGAGCTGTGAGTGGAATTTCGCTACACCAGACAATGACAGCACCGTGAGCGACAAATCACGGAGACGCGGGTAGCTTTTTGGCCTACAAAAATCAAAATCGTTCTCGCAGGTGCTCGACCATGCGCAAATACTTGCGATACCCGAGCCCATCCTTACTCTCGGCAGGCATGTTTTTGGGCTCCTCGCATTGGAATTGACAAGGAAACACCTGATACACCATTCGTAGACTCCGCACAGAAGACGTCACCGCGGTATATTGCTGCATTCCGAACTCTCAACATATGTTCTCTTCCTTCCCCCCGAGTACAGTACACGCGCCGACCCTCCCACCCCCAAAAACATCCGACAAGGTGCCCAGATATTCTGTACCCCAGGGCTCTGGTAACTTTTGCCCGGGGCTTACTTCTGGGTACCGTTGAAATTGATCACGCAAACCGGCTGACCACTGAAAGGGTGGTCGACTCCGCGTGGCGAAAGACACAAGGAAAATTACTCGAATGTGGGGTCGTCCGACAAAACACGAGGCCGCGGAAGAGAAACGACCGAAGCTTCCAGCCTTCTCATGCGGGGCACCCGACGAACGAGATAACGTATAGAAGGGAGAACCCTAAACCATCCTGTGCCACCAATTTCTCATGGCTGGCGTCGTTATCGTGCAGCCGACTGCACTCTCTACCCGACACCCGGTCTCCATCCCGTCTCGTCCCAATGTTGTAGCCCCAGCGCTTTTTCAACAACAGCAGTGAGGTTCTGGCCTGAAAACATGTGTGGACATGTCGACGTTTTCGTTCTTGGTATTCCCTGGAGATTTAATGAAACTGTTTAGAAGTAGAAGTGCCTTCGTGTATACTCCTATAGATGCCCTCCCCGCCGAGGAAGAAGAGGCAGACACAGATACACAAATACCCCAGTTNGGGGGGGGGGGGGGCGTACTCGTATGTTTTGGACGCCTTAGTGGTAGACCATTGACCATGCGTCCTAGAGAGGACGGGCCATTGCTTCCACAGGACCGATCACCCATGGCCAATCGTCCCTTCCTGCTTTGCCAAAAGTGGCTCACAGCTGTCTTCCGGTGGTGGTGGTGGCGGGGGGCGGGGGGGCGCTCGAAGGGGGGTTCACTTCCACGGTAACACCAAGGGGTCGGCCGGGCCACGACAAAGGCCGACGAAGAGGCACGAGTCTTGCAGGCTGTCATCGCGACCGTGGACCTCAAGACTGCGTGAGGCCCGCGGTCGGGTGAGGTCCGCGGTCGCGACGACAGCCTCAAGACTCTTGCCTCTTCGTCGCCCTTGGTCTACAGCATCACCCCACGGCATGAAAGCCACCTTGACTTATACAAACAGAGTGGAACCATCACGACCTCGCTAAGCGTCGAAACATTTCGAGAGATGGCACTCGTCGGAGACATGACACCGTGGGGGCGCAAGAGGAAGGACATGATGTAGTTGTATTTCCGCACCCGGGTCGGAGAGATCGCACCCGCGAGTATAAGAATGTGGCGGTCTCAATATCGCAGCCTAGTCACGGGGGTTATGGCACCGGGATGTGTGTATGCAGCACCGGCGTTGCACGAGATGAAGGCCGCTACGAATATAACTACTCTAGGGTTGTTTCGGCATCGCACACATTGAAACGATCACTCCGTGAGTAGCGACGTGTGCTACGGCGGTAAGAACGAATTGGCTAACATCCACACAGGGAGGGTTGACATCCGGAAGTCGATGTGAGCGTTGGTTCGGTGTCGTAGTTGACAAGTTTGAAGTTTCGCACCAAGGGTCAGAGAGATGGCTCACCGGCCGGCGGAGAGATCGCACGCAAGAAAACATCATTTCAAACCCAGATCGCATTCGGCGCCATCTCTCGCACTATTAGGGCATGCCCAACCCCGCCACTGCTGTGTAGCCTACGCGCGCCAGAGCGTGGCGGGCACCTCCCTGCTGCACTGTCGTAGCGTGCACATAACTCCGCTCGGGCACTTGGTGGGGTAAACAAACCGACGAACGGCGGGTCGACCATGGGAGGGTGGTCATCCGTGCATCCTCACCAGATCCTCGCCTACTGCAACTTCATTACTCCGCCTATCAGTCTCTCTCTCTCTCTGTCTCTCTCTCTCTCTCTCACCAGACCTACGAAGGCGTGGACGAGCTCGAGCGTGGACACCAGCTGCAGCACGGCGACGTAGTCGTGCGTCGCCTGCACGGCGTCCCTCACGTCGCCGCCCTCTAGGATCGCGCCGCCGATCTTGTAGAGGGTCAGGTTCCACCCCACCGCGCAGGCTCCATTGTACAGCAGAAGGTAGGCGTCTGTGAGGGAGGGGCCTCCCCCAGAGGTGGCCACCCTGGTATTGTCGGTGCCCGTTCTTGCCGAAGCTGCGCTCATTCTATTTCCGCACTGCAACTTGAGCGACGATGCTGCTGTATGCACTGCTGCTGCTCACACCGCGATGTTTCCGAAAAATACCAGGGCAGGGGATGGTTGGAAGCAAAACACAGGGTGATAATTACCCTGGACTGACGCAACAGACTTCACGTATGAGACACAAGCAGTCAGCAGCGTGTGCTGTGTGTGCTCGTGGTGACAAGCTTGCAAGATCAAATTGGGGGCGTCGCAGCGAGAAAAGTAGGAAATAACATACCCTGTGTACATTCCATTGTTCAGGGCCCCCTTTGGGTGGCGTTGGGTGACCTTCCATGGCTCAGACCCCGGGCCCAGCGGGAGCAAGTACGCCGAACTCCTCCAGCCATGGTGAGAAAGGGGAAGAGTTTGCCGAGCTACTGCAGCGCTCCTGGACTTGGTTTTGGCGTGCGTAGTCATGAAAGAATAGCAGACACAGAGAGACAGATGATGTGTGCAGCAGTGGGAAGCACCCTGGCTTGGGTTGGCTGTGAGTACTCGAGGACGCTGCGTGACCGGTGGAACGCCTTGCGTAGCTGCCAGCACAGGCCCAGCAGAGGCCAGCCTGTTCAGTGGACACTACAATCCATTTGAGATGCTTTCCCATTGCTGTTGAGACGCGCTTGGCGGGCAATCATACCTTTCTCCGTAGATAAAGTCAAAGGCAGGAGCGTTTTTTAAGACTGGCGTTTGCGGCCTTGGATTCCGCCACACACTAGAGCAGGGCAGGGAGGTTGGTTACTGCTGTAAGCTCGCCCTCAATAAACATGCGCAATGTGACCCCTCAGCCTCTCATTTCATCGATACAGTCAGTTGGAATCCCCCACGGCTTTGTCGCGCTGTTTCCCCTCCGGTTCACTGCAAAACTCCTCCCCGCCCCTCTCTATCTCCAGCACTCCCGTGACTGCAAGCAGGTCTGCGCTAAGTAGCGTCTTTTCGTTTGTCGTCCCACCGTTGTCTAGCCACTAAGTAGTACAACGCCTGACTGTCTTCGATGTCTCTCTCTGCCTCTGATCTGGTCGTCTTGCGTGGGTACTACACCGCGGCAACGACACCGCAGCCGTCTCGTTTCTCGAAGAACCGCAAGAAGCGGGGGCACGTCTCGGCGGGCCACGGGCGTGTCGGGAAGCACAGGAAGCATCCTGGCGGGCGGGGTAACGCCGGTGGACAGCACCACCACCGTATCCTCTTCGACAAGTTCCACCCTGGGTACTTCGGAAAGGTGCGCCGCCGGGAAGCTTTCCTACGCTCTGCTGGTTGATCCCTTTTTTGCGCATATGGCAGTGGTAATGCCCACCTCCTCTCTGCGAGCTGCGTGCCCTTTTCTGCATTCGCGTGTGTGGCAAGTTGGGTGGGTGGCACAAATGTAAAGCAGTGCACAGCGGCAGCAGCTCTGCCGTGTCGATGTACTGCATGCTGAGCGTTTTGAATCGTTGGGTGCCATTCTCGCGGGTGTTCAACGCGGCAGCAGCGGGTGAGCTGCCTCATGTGGCCACACGTTGTTTTTCTGAGAAAAAATACAACCCTGGCCGCCCTTAATGGTTGCTTCGCCCGGCGCGCTCATGTTCGTTGCCCGACCCATTTTTTTTTTACGTTTCGTGGCATTGTGTACTTCCCGAATCATGGGCGAACGCGGTACTGCTGTAGAGTGCTGCGTCTTTCTGACCCTGCCGATGGCGGTTCTGCACATGGCTATTGGGCATTGGCCAATATGCGTCGAAATTGGTCCTCTCTTGACCCGGCGATACATGCTGTATCGTTGTCGTTGGCTTGACGTTGAACCGTCCTTGTAACGGACGCCCCGAACCGATTTTATTTTCCCACCTTGGCACTACAAAAGCCGTAGAAGACCAACCGCTTGCGCAGCAGTATCATATTTTCCCCGCATGTAGCGTGTGTTGGATGGTGAAAGGTCAAAGGCTTGCTTGTTTGGACAACGCTGACGAACGGCTGCGGCCACAGATAGATGGGTCGGTCCATGTTCTCGACATCTTTTTTTAAGACACGGCGGGCAACAGCAGTGTGCAGCTCCACCCCGGACTGCAACGATACCCTTTCTCTGACTCTCGATCGACGTCCATCTGAGTGGAAAAGAACACGACCCCACGCTTGGTGCTGCAGTTGCATGAAGCGCTTGACGTGAGGATGTTACCCGGTTTCACTCTTGTGCCGAATGAACGGGACACCTTTGTTAACGAGTTGCTGGGCCGTGGGTCGGTCTCCGATGTGCTGTAGCATACCCTCGACAGACGAAGGAGCGACTACCTTTGAGGTTGCGTCAGAGACGGCACCCCCTGGACCTATTTGGCGGAACTCGACTACCCTTCAGCGAAAATAGCGACGGTGCTGAAAAAAACGGCGTTTGAACCGTCCCGTGGAATCTTACAAGGTCGTTGCGTTTTTTTTATGTCATGAATTTTCGCCATGGCTACTCTGTGGTTATAGAGATTTGTGGTGTCTTGTGCAACCTACGGTGAATTGGTCACCGCGCCTGACCCTTGCTCGAAGGGAGGTTTCGGCTGAAGGAAGAAAACGAGTCCGCTGTCCCACCTTCACGCCTACGCCTTGTTTTTTTTGCGGGCACCAAGCATGACTTCGAGGGGGTTGGACGCAGGCAAAATGGAAGCAGCTTCGTGACAGGTAGGCCCCCCCCCCCTCCCGATCGGCTTATCGTCGCCCTTTTCGCCTCGAATGAAGCACACTTTGTTCCACTACCGCTTGTACTTAACCCGTCACGACCTGTTTATTCTTCTACGTTAGCTCATTTCTGCCCAGTTTTTTTTTTGCTCTCAGCGCTGTTTAGTGATCTACCCTGCTGGTGAGGTATACGAAGAACCATCACCTTCCTGTCTCAACAACAACGACAGGTGGGTATGCGCCACTTCCACGTGTTGCGCAACCGGGAACACTGCCCCATTGTGAACCTCGACAAGCTGTGGTCCATGCTGCCCGAGGGGACCATGGAACAGGCCAAAGCTGGCGACGGAAAGGCACCGGTCATCGATGTGACCGACAACGTGAGTTGTTGTGGTTTTCTTGGATGTAAATGTTTTTTTGCTTGAAACTACGTGGCTCAATCGTTCTTTGTGTATCGTTGTGTAGCGTGTCTCGTGTTAGCAGTTCCTCTCTATTGTTGAGATTTGGCCTCTGTTGTTGTTGTTGTTGTTTGTGTGTACGTTAAACCTGGGTGTGGCGTGTTGTTGTTGGTTGCCGCACAAGCGCACGGCGCGATGATACATGATTCCAAGCAACAAACTGATTACCCTATGACACACAATACTCAATTGTAGTCGTGCTGTACGGGGTTTCATCAGGAAGGCATCATGGTGAGAGGGACACGCACGAGGGAGAGACCTCAGAAAAGAATCACCGAAAAAGGCCTGACCTACGGCATCCATAGCTTCAAGTTAGATGTTTAACGAAAACAAACGTTGAAAATGCGCGATACCAAAGCGTGAATCACGCACATTCGGAACACCTCGTATAACCGATTCCCCGAGTTACCTTCGTTCTTGAGGCACTTACCGCTGGGGCACTCGCGGTCGATGCAATTTGATATCGGTCAACTTGTCGACTTTCTTGTAGCCTGTCTGGGAACCGAGAGGAAAGAGCTGTCCTGCTGCTGTCAGCGACTTATATCTTGCCAACTGAGGAGTTGTCAAGGACAGTTTGCATACATGGGGGTGTCTTCTCCGCGCTACCGCTGTAGAGGCTGGGAGTTGTGGGAGGTATACACTGCTGAGAATTGCTGGGGAAGGTAGCGATTGCTGTGATGCTGTGGCCTTCGTGTGCGTCAAGGGACTTGAATCGAGTACTGTAATAGCTACTACAATCAGACACCCGGTGAGGAAACCAAATCCTTGACTTCCGGAACAAAAGCCGGACGGTCAAGCACGGCTAGCTCTTGGCGCAGCACAGCCCACCGCATGGCGCGGTACGCGCCGGGCGCGCTGAGTCCATTCTTGCTGTCCGCGAGCGGGAAAGAACGAAAACATTTGTTTAAACGGCGACCCCACACAAATCTTTGACGCACCGCAGAGCAGCAGTCGAGGCGTTCCCGTAGATGGGCTGCAACCCGTGTATACTCTGCTGTATTTGCTTTGGGTGCCCTCATGTGCCTGCTTTTTCGAACGGGCGACTGCGATCAATTAGGATCCGCATAAAGCTCAAACACTATTGATCTTTCTTGTGTTGGTCCTGCTTGTTTCGTATCACAGCCGCAAGTGCTGTTGTTCCGCTTCAATACATGTACCTCCACCCCCCCCCTTTGCGTTGCTGGAGGTGGCGAGTACGCTTGGTCTATTGCCTTTGTGCTTATGAGGCCGCGACGCCCGGCGTGTAGCCTCACAAGTTGCTGGTGGTGAACGCAAAGAATCTACGAACGATGTCGGTTTCTAGACGATGAAAACCGTTGCTAATAGCGTTTGCTTCAGCGACTCACTTCAGCCTTACAGCCATCGACTTGTTTGGCTCGCCGCGTTTACCGTATGGTGGTGTCCACCATCCCATCTTTTGTGCTTTTTGCTCTGCTTGACTCTTTTTACTCCCCTCGACTCGACGTGCAGCATTTTTGGGTGGACATTTGCTTTTCGTTTCCACCCCACCATCTGTCTTCATACTTTCCCGTATTATTGACACAGGGCTTATTTTCCTCTCCACCCTACCCCCATCTGTCTCACTACTTCCCGTTTTGGTTGAGTCAGGGCTACTTCAAGGTGCTGGGCAAGGGAAAGCTCCCCGCAGTGCCCATCATCGTGCGCGCCAAGGTCTTCAGCAAGCTCGCCGAGCAGAAGATCAAGGCGGCAGGAGGAGCATGCCTACTCTCCGCTTAGGCATCGCCACTTTGACGATTGCTTGGCAGCTGCAACAACCCTTGCCGGTCTCTACTGGGTTCTGGATATGTAGTGCATGTGTCTGGTATATCCGCAGAGAACACGGTATGGGTGGAGTAGGGCACGGGGGCTGGTGGGTTTTTGGTGTGGTGGAGATCGGTTGTTGATTGTCCCGTAGGAGGCGTACACGCGGCGTACCGCTCCTCGCCGGCCGCTTCTGATAAGGCCGGCGTCGGGTACAGCAGTGCTGCTGCTGCTGCTGCTGTGGTGGTGGTGGTGTTGATGGGCGTCCAATGTAAATGTCGCCGGGCATCAGCCGAAGAACTCACGCACAAGAATAAAAGAAAAAAACACAACATCCGTGACTGTTTGCGATGAGTTGTGTGCCGTGGCAGCCGGTCGGTCCTCCCTCCCGACTGTTTGGTCAACGTGAACCACGCTCGATTGTTGCAGTCGTGCACTGTGGAGACCCCGCCAATGTCGGATTTCCCTTATCTTTTTAGGCTTGCGCGACGTCGTTGGCCGTGCCCTTTGGTCCGTGTTGCACCCATGTAGTCTAACTCCAGACTAGTTACGGTGCTCTGGGGACAGATGATTTCCGGGCACCCCGCTCGTACAAGTTCCCGCCACACTGCGAAGCCGTTCAAAGGGACATCGGCTCCATCTTCGACACTCTATTGACCCTGACACTCCCGGTCCCGCGATGCTAATAGCTGGAAGTACATCGAACTCGAGGCTTTTGTTTTGCGAAATTTGGCAGCAATCTCCTAGGAGCGTAAGAAACAACTCGGCCCAATCATCCTCTCACTCATAACGCCGCTGCGGGGTAACCTTTCTAGTGAGTGAGTTGTCGACGCAAGGGGGATGTCGTCGCGGTGTTTGCTGCCACTTTCTCCGGTCCCTGCTCTACCGCTGTGTGGTGACGTATAAAAATGCGGTTGAGATGTTTCGGGGGGCCACCTCCCCCGAGCTGTTTTCTTCTGCCATTACTCTCTGGTACGTGCATTGCTCTTGATGCACTATAGTAACTTACCTCCGGACTCTTGTACCGTCCCACGCAGTCTCGGCAGTTCTTTTGCTTCTCTGGCCATTCAGCTTTTGTTGTGCTCCTCGCTAGGCCCTCGGTTGCAAGAGTGCCACATACATACCATGACTATTCGATGGTGTTTCACGGAGCGTTTATTTTTCCACGGAGCGGAGCGGTTATAACCACTCCGTGATACTTGCCGTATAAAAAACTTCGAAACCGCACGGATATCCGTACAAAGTCGACGGAGCACGTACCTGCAACGTGGTGAAAAACGTTGGGTTGGTCCACCGAAAACCGATTTTCCGCACGGTGTGCTGTGGCTGGAGGTTGGAGGCCGCCGGTGACCTTATCGCGGTTTTACCCGTGACTGCACTGCGATATGATCCGTGCTCGTGTGACGGAGTAGTAGCTCAAACCGCTCCGTGGAAAAACCGCTTGTATTACGCATTTTTGGGAAGCTCCACGGTGCAGACCGGGGCGGTTTATCCGGGGGCAAAATTGTCACGGTTGACTTCACATTAAACCGTATGCCAGTTGCTAAATGCCAAAATCTAGCAAAGACTCTCAGCCCGTGGTCACGAAAGTGCTAGAGCCATCTGAGGATCTAAAGAACACGCACACGTAGCAAGAAAAAGGTATCCAAGAGCCCGAAGAGGTACTACTACACCTATATATAATCCCTGCAGCACCGTACGCGTGCCCAAAACTGAACTACACGTCCGTCTCACCGTTCGACTACAGCAACA